TGAAGTTCATCAGCTTTGATTTATATGGATATCCAACATGTTCAAAATCAAGTGATGACACATTAAAGATTTATGACTCATTTAGTTCAAGTAACTTGATTGGARAATACTGTGGCAAGTATATACCAGCAAATGTGGTATCGTCTGGCCGGTACCTTTACCTGGTATTCTACAGTAACTCCAAGTTCTATTCAGCTGATAGAGGCTTCAAGTTGGAATACAATGCTATTTCTGATCCAGGTGAGTGGTCAAGTCAAAATATGAATGAAAAAGAGACATACTGGATGTCTTTTATGTTTAAAGAACAGCAATGACTATCATGGTGATTGATCAGCATGTACCCTCAATGTTTAAATATTAACATACCATGAACGTTTAAATACTTTTTTGATAATTTAAAGTCAATCATTTGAAGACAGTTATAATGTTGCAGCTTCAAGTTTTTTTAACTACTGGTAATTGAAATTGTCTCTATTCATAGGTAATGATTCGTCAATTTGTTCACCATTTAACTCAGTCTTCACTAATAAAAACATCAGATTGACAGCATCAAGTACCAGAAAGTACATCCAAAGTCCACTGTACCCTGCTAGGTACCCTAGTAACATTGAGTGTGTTTGGTACATCACTGCGTCATCAAGCTCAAAGAAAATCAAACTCACAGTGACAAACCAGAAGATTTATAATTACGCCATGTTTTCATGTAGCAGTGCCAGTGACTACGATTTCTTAAAAGTAAAAGATGGTTCATCTCTTTCTAGTTCATTGTTGAAAGAAATGTGTAGTAYAAGCWATTCATCAWCRAGTGTCACTTCCTCTGGTCGTYATATGACAGTGCAGTTCAAAACAAATCTTGATAACTACTWTAATGGTGCTACAACTGGATTCAAAGCTGAGKTTGTTGAACTTGATAATACCAGTGGTGAGTGTCATGACAATAGTATATTACTCTAGGCAAGTGAAAAAACTAAAAGCACTAAAAGAGAAACATAGTTCAGTTAAACCAGCTATTACACTTGTGCAAATTGGCTTTTAAATGGAAATGTTTTACTAAATCTGAAATTTTACAGCCATAATACCCGGCAAGATTAGGTCTATATTAGCCATTAAATAGACTTGGAAAGTTCTGTGAGTTCTGTGTGCAATACCCTGACAATGATGTGTATGCTGACACAAAACTGATGTAGAATACTAATAATAGCTAAATTGC